CAATCTCTTCTCTGACCTGACCTGGCTTTAACAGTTCAGTAGCAAAAAATTGGCTGGTCACATTCAATGACATTTCATCATCACGGAGCATGCCTATCATGATATGCTCTCGGGTTTTGAGCACTTATCGGGACTTAAGCTAAACCCAGGCCTCAAATTGAACTTGTACATACAATTCATCATGAAAGATGCTAGAAAAATGGTTACTTCTTTGCATCCACTAAGTACATTAAGTACATGATGACTTTTGTTATCATCTTCACTTTCCAATCTTGATAGAGTTCAAAAGTATCTCTATTATTTTACAAACTATAACTAATTTCCCAAAAACGAAACATTGCAAGCCTCTTGCTGCTCTATTACTATTTCTATGGAAAGCATTCAGATGAACTATATACCTTAGTTTCACCAATTATAACCATCACAGTTAAACCCACCATTCCACACACATTCATATTCTACTGATGAGATGCTACCTCAATCATTACGATCTTAACATGTTCAAGTTTATGATTAATCATTAGCTTCCCAATATATCCCCATAAACTGTGCCTCTTAATCTGAGCAATAATGGCTCCCAATAATTTCCTATCCTTTTGTTATACTGTACCTATGGGTAAGTTCCAATCCTTATAAATACAATGGAATATACTGTATATGGGATACCCTGTGGGATTTCACTTACATTTCACCTTGATTCACTTCTAGCTCACCACTAACGGCTGATTAGTTACTACACACCACTGGCAAATCTTGTATGTTGTTTCTTTTATAAATATTATCGTTCCATCACCAAGCTTCTTTTTGGTTATTCTTATTGTGTAACCTTTTCCTAGGTTACAACACCTTTATAGCTCTAAGCAATGTTTATTTCCATTCTATTCCTCCCAATCCATGCTATGCTATTTACACAAGTTCATCAAATATGTTACTACATTAAATATGTCCTGTGAGAGTCAAATTTTCTAGGCCTACTTTCCTTATTATGTGCAACCAGACAAAAATGATGGACACAACCCAAATAAAATAGGGTACCACAAGCGTACCATCATTTTAGTTCATAAACTCTATTGTATCAGTTTATAATTATTTACACTATATGCATGCGAACTATTGAACTCATCTTTGTTGTTGTTACCACAACATTTGTGAAGTGGATTAAAGTGTTGATTCATCAATTTGGTGACATAGTAATTGTGAGTTCAATTCCTGGGCCAAGCAGTATGTACTTGAACTCAATAGAAACAGGGCAAACGATAACTAAATAGTACTAAAAATAAGAACTAGATGAGGTATCCCTAAACATGGTCAGTGGAATGACAACATTCTACATTCATAAATTAAATAAAGGGTTCAACTTGGAATTCTCCTTGTGTTACCAGGATTAACCCATTAACTGCCAATTTTTTTTAATGCACATTTTTGGCCCAGACAGGTTTTTTTGGAGTTTATTTATTCCTTATTTTTAATTTTAGTAGTTACCATTGTCATTTTTATAGAAACTAGAACATCAAATATATATGTGTATAAAACATCAAAAAATAATATTGATTAGAAATAATAAAAAAATACTTTTCAAAATAGTCATTATTTTTCTACTCATGAAATGTAAAATTACAACAGAAAGTGTCTTCTTACGGCTAGTAAGAAAAACATTAAAGGCTAAGTGTTGTAAAATATACCTCTGAAAATGCAATGTATGTAAGTAATTCAATGTAAATACAAGGAATAACGTGTAGTGAGTTTAATTTTAACAAATCTCCAAATGGGGCTCATGGCAGATAATAGGTCAAGTGTAGAAAATATTCAAAACTGGTCTGAACAAGTTAGAGGGTATCTCCAATTGAGGGGAACCTATAATATCATTAGCCAAGGAGCCCCCACAAAGGGAGTTAATGAAGTCATTAACAGTCACGTCCTGAAGTGCGATTTCTTTTTATCGTTTCTTCACTCTCCCCAGACGTCCCGCAGTTGACTGTTCGATGATGCAAACTATATATTACTGTAACTGAAATTCGTTATCCTCTCAACCGAATGAAACAATCAGGATTTTTTTTTCATTTATTTATTACTTTAATTCCATTACGACTTGTGGAGAGCAATGTGGCTGCCTTGAAGATCTCATATAATAAAAACATTAAAGGCTAAGTGTTGTAAAATATACCTCTGCAAATGCAATTTATGTAAGTAATTCAATGTAAATACAAGGAATAACATGTAGTGAGTTTAATTTTAACAAATCCCCAAATAGGTCTCATGGGAGGTAATGGGTTAATATACATTGGATGAAAACAGACGGGCACAGTAGTCAAAGCATTTTGATAGAAGCAACAAGGATTGAACACAATAGTCTGCATGTAAATAGTGTAAATGATGCTAACTTCTCATACCAAAATTCAGACTGAAGTTCATAGTTTTTTAATTACTAAACAAAATTCAGTACACTATGAATTGAATATAATAAAAAACAAAAAAATGTTATTAAAAGCAAAAAAAAAAAACTATTTTGAAGAAATAAGACAAATAGACACTTATGATCCAAACAGCATGAAAGTACATTTAGTTCCTTTTTTTCAGAATTTAAAGAAAGTACTAAAAATAGATTTCAAAGAAAAGGAAAAATAAAAATGTCTACAAATAATATTGAAATGTGATATTTCATACGACTATTTTTTTCTTACCTATTAACCAAACATTTTATTATTTCTTAGGATTTTATTATTTGTAATGGAATAAAAATGAATATGATCAGGTACTGGGATCAAACTCTTCTGCACTGGAAATCAGTTCTTTCCTTTTATGTGCCATGTCCTTTCAGGACATAGACAATCATGGCTCTCCACCTCTTCCTCTCTCCCTTGCAGCTATCAACAAGCTCCTTCCCTCTGCTACCTCCTCCAGACCACATTAAATATGTACATCTTTAAAATCAAAATATATATATTTCACTCAGATGAGTCTGAAGTTATTATGCAAATCAAATAAACTTCAATAACTTGAAAGTTCTTAACCAATATTAGTCAAATTGTATGCAATATTTAACTAAATTTTCTGCCATTTTTAATAGTTGGTTCTTGAGATATTTAGAATTTACAAAAATGGACTGACTCAAGTTAGTATACAGATTAAACTAATATTAGCTTAAGACCTCTGAAATCTAATGAAAATTATTTTTTCTTTTTGTCCATAATATATGTTGAAACATAGCTACAGGGAAGAATCTAACAACTACTGAAAAACAGAAAATAAAGTTATTGAGTGAAGGAATGTTCACATTGGAGATATCAAAGAATCTTTGCAGAGATCATCGAACAATAAAGAAGGCTGTTGAAAAACTCAAAGCAAAGGAAAAGGCTTTAAGAACTTGCTTCCTCAAGATGAACATAAACTAAAATGAATTATAGCAAAACAACCACTTTTGACCAGTGATCAGATCTTTGAAAAGGCTGGAATGGAGAGATTCAAGAAGGACAAATGGTGTAGAATACTTTGTGATTTGGGATCTGTAAAAAAAAAATCTCCCAGGCAACCTCCTCTCACTAAAGCAAATATTTTAAAGCACCAAATTTGACCAAGAAATACATGAAAATTGACTTTCCTAAAGCAATTTTCAAGAATGAATCTCGAGCGACATTTGATGATCTTGATGGATGAGCCAAAGGATGGATTTTATCCAATTCACATGTGCCTGTGGCTAAAAGAAGACAAGGAGGCTGTAATGTTATGATATGGGCTGGAATTGTCGACCAAACCATTACTGAACCATTCAAAGTCAATGAAGTAGATAAACTGAACTAAACTGAATCTGATCAAAAATCTATGGTCATTTGTGAAGAAGAAAGTATATGGAAGTGGCAAACAATATAACAGCAAAACAGTCATATGGGAAGCAATTAAAAAAAAAACATGTCGAAAATTGAACCTACTGAAGTAGAAAAAGTAACAAAATCAATGGATAATAGATTACTGGCTGTTATGGAGGAGAAATGCCACTATATTAAGACGTAAAGCATTCAAAGACTTATATGTTTTTTTTTATTTTTTCTATTATAGATGCTGATCAACTTTTGATGTTTTTATTAGCTTATTGAAGTAAAATGTGATTCAGACGGCAGTTTTTAGGATACTTCAATAACTTCGATAAAACATGCTGATACTACCTAATATTTTAACTCGGACTTTGTTTTGACATTTAAATTATCATTTAAAATTTGATTATTTTTTTCAAACCAAATTTGAATTATTCAAGTTTTGATGATTTGCTTAATAACTCCAGGCAGGGTGTATATTCTTCAAACAATTATTTATCATTCTTTTGTTAATCAAAGTTTTAAATATAAAGTATGTTAAAAAATACCCCTTCTCATATTATAATTTTCTGTGCATAGATGTTTAATTCAGTAATGACTTGTCATAGTGTTGCAACTTAGAGAAGGTTACTGAATAGAATAATCACATGAAGGATGGTAATGAACAATAATACTCAGGACAAGAACAACACATATAAGATTTGTCAGTGGTGCGTAGAAGTAGTCAACTGCTAGAAGTGAGTCAAATGAATTCCACAATGAATCTTCAACTGCAGATCAACATACAGTATTTACTACTGTATTTATCTGAATGGGGACATATCCATTATCATCCATAAGTATGCTACAACACATAGGAAATAAATCTGTTTTGACTTGAAGGAACATCAGATTTTATCCTACAAGCATATGATTTGATTGATTCATTTTTTGCAACTTATCAACCCTTTGCAGGTTCTTTAAATCCTGAAAATATTTTTAGATTCTAAGAATTTTATGTTGTGATAATAATGATTTTGTGATATACGTCTTACTAATTAACCCATAGCTCAAAATAAAAGAGATGGATGCATACTTTTCCCAAGAGTATATGTACATCAGTAGATATAACACACCCAACTGTCATTGAAACTCAGCTCTCTGATTAACAATTCCAAGCCATTATCCATTACATCACTCACACATCTAATCTTACAGCACCTGGTATTCCCAAGCAGTCACCCGCCAAGGTACTAATCATACTCAACACTGCTTAACTTCAGTGATTGCACAGGAACTGGTGTTTCAATGTGATGCGGCCGTAGGCAATCTATAAACAGGGCAATGTCTGTTTACAACATTGTGGAAAATAGGAAGTGTTGGATGTGTGCCAAAGTAACCGGGCTGAACATGAAAGTTGATACTAAGATCTATTCATTTTATTAGGAGATTGGTTGATGAAAATTGACTTCAGATGTTGGTAATGAGAACAAATATATGCATACCATGAATGATTCTATATTTACAATTAAATATAACCTGAGCAAGACGAGATTACATGGCTGATAATCATGCAGGAAACAGCAACTAAAATCAAGACACGTAGAAACCACTTTAATGTTTGTGCAGGAGAGTATGGATGAAAATTGAAGATTTTTGGGCAGCATATTGTGGTCAGATGAAAGAAAAGTTAATATATTTAAATCTGATTGCATCTAGTGAATTTGGCATTGTCATCCAAAGGCATACAGGTATAAGTGTTTGATAGATATCAACAGTTAAGGTTCTACTGGTCTGGGATTGGGTAACTTCCACTGGTAAGCTACCAATGAAATCATGAATGCTGAAGTTTAATTCAATATATTGAAATAATATATGTTGTCTTCAGTTATATGCTTGCAATGAAGACCTTTGTTTCTCTAACGACAATAATTAAACATGCTTTGATAAGAAAACTAGATTTTCTGACGAAACTAAAAGTAAAAATTAACTAAACATCTTAGTAAATTTCAATCCAACTGAACACTCATAGAATTTACTGTAATAAAATGAAAGTAATAGGATAATGATCATGCAGGAAGATAGATTTGTAAAATGCATTCTGATGAATTGGGAAAAGAAAACATATCAATGATTGTGCCAATCTAATAGAATCAATTTTATCAAAACTGCATGCAGTAATAGAAAATTAAGGCAGTCATATCAAATACTATGTTGAAACAGTTTTTTCATACAATTTTATTCATTTATAAATGGCAATATATATTTTGATGATAGTGTTATAAATCTATAGAGAGTTTCTTATAGAAGTATGATGGGCCACAGAAAATATCTGATATCTGACCAAGAAGTGATTTTTTGTGATGTTTGGCAATTTGATCTGTAGAAGTGGTCAGTTTGAGAACTCATCAGTATTCTTTTCTTATACCTGATCATGTCTATTTTGATTATGCTATGTTCTACAAGAAATAATAAAATTTTCTATATTTGGTTCACAAAATAAATTAACTTATTTTAAAAAAAGTGATAGGTATATACTCATTTATGGTTGCTACTATAAATAATTTGTTCTCATAAGTAACATAAATTTGTTTATCTTAGTCACTCAAAGTATTTCCTTTTACAAGGAGTTCTGAAAATTTCTTTACTCAACCTACTTCTGTAAATAAATATTATACTTATTCATTAAAATTCTGATATGGGAAAGATGATCTGCCTGCGAACTTTAATTTTTCTGCTCAGTGTTGTTAATAGTTGAATGAATCAAAGAGAACATTGACATTTCAGCGATATTTTTAAATCCGAGGAAAAAATTTGACACAAAATCAAATAAGTAGAAAAATGACTAAATTGTAAAAATTAAAAAAAAAATAAATCTGAAGATTTGTTTGTTTTTTTTTTCATAGGAAGAAGCATAAAAGTTAACTCTATGCAGATTGTAACTGAAGGAGAAAAAACTGAGGAAGATATTTTTGAAGTATTAAAAAAAAAATTTTATTGAAAAGAGAATAAGTATAAATCATGAAAAAAGTGAAGAAAAATATTTAAGATTAAAACAAGAACTGATAAAGAACATAAAGAAAAAGCATGTGAATAAAAATGAACGAAATGAGTAAAATCGATGAAGGAAGAGAATGATGAAGAGGACAGATAGACAACAGAGAAATGGAACAAGCAAAGAAAGACGACATATAGACAGTGGAAAGAAAGATTAAATATAGAAGAAAACACAAGAGAGAATTTAAGAACAAAAGCAAAAATATAAGTTAAATAGAAAGTTTTTCAAGAATAAAAAATAAAGAAATATTTAAAAAATCAAGAAACAGTGTAAAGGATATTCCAAGATGTGAACGATCATGGCTCTCCACAACTTCCTATCCTTTGTAACTCTAAGCAATATTTGTCTGCTTACTATTCCCCCCAGTCCCTTATCTGCTGTCAATTAACCCAAGCTTGTTTGCTTGGTTAATCTGTTCCCATCTCCCCATCTTGCCTACAGTCTATCCTAGGAATATCAAATTTTCAAAGCCCTGATGTGTGTCAAAAATGTCAACTCTTTTTTTATTCTAAGTATCTGTCTTTTTTTTTATTCCCATTTTCGGTACAATCTTCTTGCTTTTTAATTTTATACATGCTATGTCCATGATATTCTGTAGAAGCACATGCTTGTTGCCTCAAGTTTTCCTTTTATCTATGAGAAAACTGTCCAGCATTCACTGCTATAGAGAACAACTTATATCACACAGGACACTTTTCTTTGTTTTGTTGGATTACTACCACTTGATGATAATCACAGGTGGCATGATATTTGAAAAGCTCTTCCTCTTTTCCCTTTGACTTATGGAGCAGAAACACATTTCCTTTTGCTCTGATAGTGTCATGTAGGACATAAATTAATAGAATTGTCCGTTTGTGTAAATAAGCAAAGTTAAGCGGAGTTGAGTAGAGTTAACCTTAGGTCAATTGCTAAGTGTACCTTCTTGCAGTAAACCCTTTATTTCATTACTTACCTATGAGTTTGTCTTCATTATTTATGTCCTGTTATCTTGAAAACAAGATACAACATATAGACACCAGGCAGGTATGTACTTCAGAGACACAGACTGAAGACTGTATTAAAATTTATTTATTTTTCTGTAACATGTCTTGTTAATACATTGAACATTTGCTGTTTGTTTGAATTCCATATTTTGTCTCCTTTTTTTACCCTGACTCACACGAGTCCATCAAATATTGTTTATGGGACAAATGTACCATGAGGCATAAAATTGATAATACTTATAACAAAAGTGTTTTTTGCATATATATCCAGGAGAATATCACATTGAATGTTCCCACTTCTGTCGCAGGAATGGAAAGTATTATCATGTTATACCTTTTAGTACATTTGTCCTGTGAAAAATATTTAATCCACTCATGTGAGTCTCGGTAAAAAATGTCAGAAAAATATTGAATTCAAATAATATAAAAGTATTAACAAGACATGTTACAGAAGTATAAAGAAAGAAATAAAGTTGATGTTATGGACAGTTCAATACAATCTTCAGTCTGTGTCTCTGACATACTTACATATCTTGTGTCTATCAGAGTGAAAGGAAACGTCACCACTCCAAAAGTCAAATATTACACCATCACCAGGGGGCGGAAATCCAACAGTTTTCAATGAAAAAAACAAAAAAGTAAAATCAAAAAGAAAAAATATGAAAATGTAAACAGAGTTTTATTTACATTGAAAATATCAAGAGAATTTCCCAACAATATTAAAACAGGCAAAAATGTAGAACAAAAATGTTCTGGCCAAATATTTAGATTTAGACACGATTAGATTTAATGTCCATGAATAATGATATTACAGTGTGATTACTAATTCACATTAAGTCACTCAAATAAAAACAGAACAGATTTTTCACTGGTTTCTTCTCTGTTAATTTTTCTATAAGTAGAATATAAATCAGCCATAAAATCTGTTGGTTATTGGTTGCCAAAGTTTTTCCTTGAATTAAAAAAACAAAGCCTTCTATTTTTTTTATTCATCATTATCTTTTCTATTTTCTTTTTATCATATCTAAGTGCTTTGTGTATTTGTGTGAGTGTATGATTAATTTGAAGTTTATTATCTGTATATATTTTGTAATATTTTTCTGTCTCATCCTTCTGTTTGATCATAGAGTCCATCTACCATTTTGATTGGTACTTTCTTTTTATGCAGCTATTTGCTTATTTTTGATTTTTATATATTTTTCTGGTTTTTCTTGTTGATATTTTTCTTTTTTCCTTCTCTTCACTTTTGTTTCATTGTTAACATTTTCTTATGCTTCTCATTTTTCTGAAATTTCTTTTCCTTTTAATTCTCCTTCACTTAGTTTTCGTTTTATAATTTTTTCTATGTCTTTAAACAATGAATATTTTTACAATTCTTAAAATTTGTTGCATTCACATGCTCACCATTTTTTTTAGAAATTTTTTTTTCTAAATTCTATAAACCAACCAAATCACAAATTTTCATTCATCACTTAAAGACAGCAATATAATATTTAAGAAAACAAAAATTTGATTCAGTTGAAGATGAAAACATTTTCTTTAGTGTAAATATGAATGCTTTCATGCAAGAAAAATTTCAATAGTTAAAAATGCACAATATTTGACAAAAGATAACTAATGTTGACTTGTACAAAATTTTCATGTTAATTTTTAGAAGAGTGGATAAAAATAAGGAAATAGAAACTAAAAAGATTATTTTAAAAAAATAGTTAACTGCAGTGTATGAAAAAAATGTTGGATGACCAGTATAATTGAAATTACAAAAATGGATCACCACCAAAAAAAATAAAAACCGACAAATAGATATTTGGCTATTTTGTTTTCAACAAATTAATAATTGAGGTAAATTTATATTACAAGTAATACAGAATATAATTATGTTAAAAAAAAAACTAAAACTTTTAAAAATAATGTATAATGCTGAAAACTTTCATCACAAAGAAAAGACTTCAATTGATTCAGATGTATTTCTGCTAATGAATTTTGAACAAGTTATGTGACATGTGGTTAAGTATTAAGAAGAATAGGAACTACAAAACACTTCCTAAAACTCAGAAAAAGACATCTGAAGTACATTGTGAGAAAAGAAGGCCTGGACAATTTAATACTCACAAAACATATTTAAGGCAAGAGAGGCTGGAGGAAAACAGCAAGTAAACCAATTTAAAAAAAGTTTCTGTGAACATATGGCAAAACAAAAACAAAAAGAAATGGTAAATGATCAAAGTTACTGTGAGTAACAGAAGACAGGAAGTTGTGAAGAGCTATGATTGCATCTTTCTT